AATTCAGAGAACGCGACATGTTTGTTGGGTTTAATCCGGAGGAAACACTGCAGAGTCTGGTAATTCACAATTGTACCGATGCCAATTTGGGAGATGATGAAATACTTAACAAGTGCAAGGAAATGCTTATAAATATTGCGTCCGCAGATGGAATCGTGAGATCAAGGAATTCCGGACTATCCATTGATATTATGGAAGTCAATCGTTGGAGAGATGCCTATTTCCACGATCAACATCATGAAAATTTAATTCCCCAACATCAATCTTTGATAGCTTATTTAGAAAATAGCTTAACAGACATTCTCAATAATGTGTATACTTTTGAGGAAATCGTCACTCAGGAGGTACTATGGTGCCTACTTAGCATGAAGTTTCCTTCCACTTCAGAATCTGTGGACTATATAAAGTGAGACTTAAATTTTTCGTTTACTACTATAAGAATTTATTGTGTATCATACTGATATTTTAATAATTTTACCTAGGCTGCTGGTTGAACAAATTCCTAAACATGAAGAGTTCCTTGACTGTCTAAAAACAAGGACTTTTGAGTGGCTCGACGAAAAAGTTTCTGAAGAATGGACCTTAGAAGTTGCCTCAAATAAGACAGACTTATATTTATATTCCTCATTCTTCGTGTCATTGCAAACATACATTCGGAATAAGGTTCGAGAGCCAATTTCCAAATTGCTCTGTGTTACGGAGCGATTGTCCGGGCTTTCCCCATTATTCCACGATCGTAACATCGATGACTTGTATGTTGGCGACGAACGATCAGATGATTTATTTGAATTTTGGAAGCAAATATTCATGAATTCTAAAATCGTCGACATAGAATATTTATCTAGTCCAAAGCCGGATATATATCAGATACCAACAAAGCAACGTGGTAACAAATTTCCATTCTCGACATATTTCATCGATCAGATAAACAAGTTCAAAAGGTTGTATCAGGAGGATCGAACAATCTTGGAGGAAGATGAAAAAAATTACGATGAAACAGGAGAGCTAAGAACTGATGTCATCGAGAATTGCGTCGAAAGGTTTACGGAAAACGTTTGCTCCGTGATTCCTTCATTGAAGTCACCGAAACTTTTTGAGGAACCAGAAATTTACTTCAAGGATTTTGTTTCAGCCGTCTTACCCAAATTCGGAAAAGACAACGGAAATGTTAAATTATTCGAATGGCTTATCCTTTATCATCTAAACCAACAAATTCCCAACCCGGTTAGACTTCACGTCTTTTGGTGGGAAAATTCCGAATCAGTACTTGCAGAACTACAGTTAATGTTGATGTGTCCAGAGGTCGTAAAGATCATAACTTCCGCGAAGACTGCTGAGATTACTGATTATGACTTTGAAGCTTATTTGCTGGAAGAAATTGTCAACATTTTTATGAAACGGATTGGTTTAATTAATACTAATCGGGCAATCGAGCGCACACTTCACATCTGGCAAAGAGACGTGACCAATATTCTGTCTTTAGCTACAAAGCTGTCAACCAATGTGTTTGTGAATCCATCATTACAAAGATTACGCATTTATAATGATTTGTCAAAATCTCTCGAGCTGCAAGATTTGCTAGAAATTAGAAGAATAGAAATTGATGAGGGAAGTAGAGAAATGCTTTCAGAGCGACTCATTGACAATGTCTTCAAGAGATTGGCCGGATATAAAGATGATGAAGTCGTTCAGTCCTCTCAAAGATCATTTATTAATAGATGCCTTAACACACTTTCGAATGAATCACCCGTTCGACTATTCCTCTACACAAAGATACTTTCTCCGGATCCTCTTCCCTTATCATTTTCCATCGTTCATCGTATATTTAATACTGAGCATCAGGAAAATGAAGATGTTTTCTTTGAATTGATAAAAAATCCTCTTGAGGTCTTAAAATATTCAGAACGGTTGCAGCTAATCAACGACATTCTGGAAAAAGATGTCGACTCTCCTATCGCTTGTTTATGTACTGACGTTCTTCAAATTCAATTCTTTGGCGACTTTGGTATTGGAAAATTATCACAATATTTCTTGAAAGCGACCGAAGTTCTAATCACAACCGACGTTAAACCGCTGCAGCTGATATCAGCAATTGCCCTTCTAAAATCCTTTGGAACTGCTTTTTGGGAATCAGCAAGGTCACTCAAAAACTCCTTAAATAATCCAATTTCATTCTTGTTTGAGGATGCAGATTATATGGTCGAAGTAGATCTCGAAGATATTAACAAAAGAATGGATGCACCACACCCTCTAATTCACTCATTCCTTCTTTATTTACTCAAAATTTTAAAGACCTCTCAAGGATTTTCTATGGACGATGTTAAACGTTTTTGCAATATAAATAGGGAACTATTGCCTTGGCTTGGTGGAATAGCGTGGACGGTAAAAGATATGGGACGAATGGACTTCATACCGTATTGGTATATTGAACAATATAATCAAGCGGAGCATGCAGCAAATAGGATAATCTCGCGTGGTGACGAGACATCCATGACAAATCTATTGAAGACGATAAATAACGTGAACGAAAAGGATGTTGTCAATCTCCGAATATCATTTTCCGGGATGATCATGACAAAGCTTTACCTTGTAAGGGCATCACGAGATTGGAATCAAGCCGAGACAATACTAGCACAAAAAACACGCAATGCCTTGGAAAAAACGACACTCCCGAAATTTTATAAGGAGATTTTAACGAAATTCCTCAAAAATGAACATCCGCTAATCAAGCTTTCTGTTAATGATGGGAATTCGAAATTGTATATTTGTTCGGTTATTTCTCATGTGATATCGGTATGCCTATCTTTACCTCAAAATTCTTCCCCGTTAGCATGTTACTTGCAAAACCTGCAAGACTGTCAAAACACCTTCATTCTTACGTGTCCTTCGGATGAGCAAACTGTCATTTTGAATGCATTAATGGAGCAAGGTATTCCGGACAAACGCATTACAAGGTAAATAGAAAATCTATTTATTTATTTATTTATTTGTTTATTCTTCAAACCTCGGGTATTCATGTCATGAATGAAATTTTAGATATGTTTGCTCGTGTGGATTTACATATATAGTCGGGGATTGTGGCAACGTTACTGTGGCAAGCACATGCCCGCAATGTAAGAAAACGATCGGTGGACAAGCTTACAATGCACCTGCTCCTGGTAACAATCGGTTGGATGCAATACCAATGACTCAGACAGTTAATGCCAAAGCCCAAGCAGGTTATTTGATTGAAACGAGAAAAACTGAAGATAATTATAGCGTTCGTCAGATGTCACCCGCCTCTTATCGAGTCCTTCACTTATTTGTTCATGCCATTATTGGTATACTTGCGCCCTCACAGATTGTCACCAAATTTGTTAATGGTCAGACAAATAAAGGTACGAATATAGCTGATGCCGTTCAATATTGCCAAAGGCACATTAATAATGACTGGGCGGCGTTAAAGAACATCCTCGCATGCGGAGACGAACAGTTAGCCCTAGTATTACATTCGATCCTTTCTCATATGGCACAAGTGCCACTTAAAGGTGTTGTAACGAAACTTAGGACTTCGGTCGATCGTGATGATTGGGAAAAGAACTTCAGCACGCAATATGCATCTCCTTTTGTTAAAAATGCCATGGGAACTGCGGCAGAATTTCGCAAAATGCTGGAGGCGAAGTCGGAAAGTGCTCAAATCAAAATTGAAACAGAAATAAATGAAGTCATGAAGGTTGATGATGCGTATCGTAAAGAGAATTTACCTCGAATGTGGCGTCAGATTGGATTTCCGAGTATGGAAAACTTCCGAGCATTCTATTCAAACAATCCCGAATATGCAAGCGCATTCCCCTTTTTGCGAGTTTTCTTGAAACATGAGAGTAATTTAAGGCTGATTCGATGCATTTTACCCATCGTGAAATTCGTTCAAATTTTATCTTCGAGCCTCTCTTACCGCTTGGAGAGACAGGAGGCTCGTAGCTTGTCTTTTAGAAATTTCATTACCAAGGAATGTAATGATGACAACTCTGGTGAATCTCGGCGTTTATTGGATACTGCATTTATGGCATTCACTGATGCATGGAACGCATTGATTCCTCATGTCAAAAGGTATAAATGTCAGACTCTGCATAAGGCACTTCCAAAGATGACGGAGAATCTTCCGGTTGTTTACGGATTAGTTGAGCCAGTCGATGAATCAGTATATCTTTGTGCCATCCTAGATTTTTTGGTTCAGTTGCAAAATAATTTCTTGAAAGATGTTATTGAGATCTCTCCGGGGAAATGTCAATCCCTTAAATTTTTAGAACACCATTCAAATGCGAAAGTGGAATACCACCTCCAATCGATAAGACTCGACAGCAGTAAGGCCGCGCATATCGTCTTATACAATGATGTAACTGAAATCTTTAAATATAGTCAATTTGATCTGAGAATAGGTCACGGACAGGAGATTTCTTATGACTTGTTTAAGATAGAGGCAGAACTGGCTCATTTATTGGTCTATGAGAAGGCGTTTATCGAACAAGATGAACAAGAATTGCACATGGATCGATTCTCATATCATAAAGAATTGTTCCAAGGCTCCATGACCATTTTGAGCGAAATCAAAGCTTTGGTGACTCAAGAAAATATCCCTGAAGACAAAAAGATGCTATTTATCGGGAATTCAAAAAATTCGTATGGATTAAACCATCAGGAAAATTTCGAACTATCATTGGGAATGGAGAATCCCAAGAAGCTATTGTCTGCGCTAGAAATGATTATCTGTTTCTTGAAGCGAACTTCTGGTGGAGATTGTGAAATGCTAATTACAGATTACATCGAGAAATGGATGAAACTCACCGTATTAAAGGATGACGATACAAGCTATAAATTGTTAAAAAGATCAGGCCTGCAACTCAAGCATGTGGTGGCATTATACGAATTGGTTGAGGAACACGTAGCAGATGTTGTCGCTACTTGCATTCATCCAAAATATCAAGCAAAATTAAACGATTTAATTGAGCAAGAAATCATGGAGGTTACCAGCTTTGATCAACAGGAAGAAGAACCACTTATTGGTGGTAGCAGTAGAAGTATTAATTCGAGAATTCCGGCTGAAGCATTTGTAACAGCATTGAAAAGGTTCATTTTGAGGCACCTATCTATTGGTGAAAGTATTGTTGAAACAATACCTCTTTCGAGTTATCTGGTTCAAGAGGAAGCGCTTGAATGTTGGCCTGACACGGTTAGCCAAGACGTTCTTCAATCCAAGTTCCCGACTTCACTATTGATTTCTCATACCCTTGAAGCCTATATATTTGTCAAAGAAGAGCTTAAGGTATTTTCTTTCTTTAATAGATTCTCTGGATGCTCTTGTCATAACAAAGTTTTAATTTTAAACTTGCATTTGCTTTTCATTGTTTTTACAGAATATTCAATCCAGGAAGCAGCGTAAAACTGAAGAAAAGGAGGCCCAAAATAAAAATAGACGCACGAAAAGTATTAAGGGTAAAGGCAAATCGCAATATGATTTCATGTAGCCGGTTGCCTGTTTTGATGTCGTTTCTTCTTTCACAATTTGTTCTGCCTTAAATATCTGCGCCATTCTTTGCTTCATGTAAATACGTATTTCAAAATGTTTTGTCGAATTAGAATTTGTAAAGCCTATGTTGTGTGAATTGCTTTAAAATTTTTTAAATAAAAATGTAATAAAATTTTTTAAATAAAAATATGATAAAAATTTTTAAAAAATTTTCGTCGTTTATATTGAAATAAATTGATTGTATATAACAAAGACTTTTAGTAAAACGCTTGTGATTATTTAACAAGAAGTAATAATTCTTGCATAGAATTCATTTAAAAAATCTTTAGCTCATGGTTTGTCATCTGGCCCAGAATTACGTGATCAAGTCGAGAAAAAGGGTCCTTCATATTCTGTTGCTTGAATTGTAAATACGTACGTATTAGCATAATAATTGCATTATGCCGTATGTAGTTAGTGAAATTTTCGAAAACAAGTTATATTTGCAGATTGTGCATTTTAAAAACGTATACGGTTGACTTTTAAGAGCTACTTTGTAATATATTCTGATTACGCATGTATTTAATCAAAGTGGCTTTGAACGTTTTACTGCAGTCTTAGTTAATGCAAAATCCATTATGTACGTATTTCCATTTTTCGTAGATCCCATGTACCATTGAAATGATTAATGCGGTGTTTCGATTCGATGTTTACAATCTCCGAAATTAAACAAACTTAAAAATATTTCTTTGGCGGATTTCAAATATTGTTGCACGATTTTATTATGCGTTAAGGTGAAAAAAAAAAATGGATTTTATTCATTAAATTAATAATACATTTACTTAAATAGAAAAGATTGAAAACATGGAAAATTCGTTCGCAGAAAATATTCAGAAACCCTTGATTTCATTCAGCATTGGTAATGTGACAAATTTTAAAATTAAAATTATTATTAATATTATTATGCCCAAAACGCCGCGCCTTGCTTTTTGTACCTGCCTTTTTTTTAGAAGCCATAACCAATAAACTTGATATATATGACGAGGTTTGCAACAATGATGGGGTAAAAGCCTCAAATTTGTTTGATTTACGGGCGCGTATATCAATATTTTACTTTCTTTCTGATACTAAAGGCTTGCTCGTTTTCCATAATAAGAAATCGCTGCGCAATATTATCACTAAAGCAACGCCACGGCACAAACAATCGATGCTTATTTATTTATCTTCGTTTAATAACAATGTGGATGGAAATTAGAAAAAGAGGCTATTTTAATAAATAGCAAAGTCTTTTTGTCGATTCTGTAGTCTCGCGCTCGCAAAAATAGAATAAGATGCCACTTTGGAGAGAAAAAAAAGACTCTTTGCCTGTAAAAAATCAGGAAAAAATCATTCCCGAAGCACGTGCTTCCATATTCTCGAAACCCTTTTTTATCTGGCTCGATGAACTGTTGCGCATTGGCCGCAAGAAACATTTAGAGCGTGAGGATCTATACTTTCTTAATAACGAAAGACTGGCAAGAGTATTAACAGACAGATTTGAAAAAGAGTGGAAAAAAGAATTGGAGAAACTAAGAAAAGGAAAGAAACCATCATTACTTTTGGCTCTCAATCGTGTGGTTGGATTCCAATTTTGGATAGCTGCTGTTATGAGATTGATTGCTTACTTGTCGCAGGTTTTTTCGCCCTTGGCAATTCAGGCAAGTACATGTTCGGCAGAGGAAAATATAATTCCGAGTGCGGTAAAATATGATTGCCGTTCTGATGAGGTTTTCCGCGATAAATTTGTTTAGGCCATAATACTATTTTCGACAGAGTCATTTGAATCAAAAGGCAACAACGCACCATCGATATATCAAGGAATATTATTATCAACAATCCTCTTTCTCATGTTACAATGCTACGCGATAACAAGCAATTGGTGTCTCTGGGCGTCAGCGCAATGCGGTCTCCTGGTTCGCACAATTTTAATCACGGCTATATACCGAAAGGCGTTGGTACTTAGCGGAAAGGCACGAAAAGTTTTCACCTTAGGAAAGATCACAAATATTATGTCTACGGATACGACTCGCATAGATTGGGTTTCGGTGTATGTACATTTCATATGGGCAACTCCACTTTTGCTTACGATAGCGCTTGTCCTATTGATCATGAATATTGGATTATCGGCGTTGGCGGGATTCGGATTGATGGCTATCGCTGGACCTCTGCAGGGTAAAATAATGCAAACCTTAGTCTCCAAAAGAAGGAAAGCGGCAAAAATGACAGATGAGCGGGTGAAAACCACGCAGGAAGTCTTACAAGGCATTAGGATGGTTAAGTATTATGCGTGGGAAGAAAGCTTTTTAAATAACATTGAAAAGTTGAGAATTAAAGAGACTGGTTATATTCGAACACTATTGGTAATAAGATCAATAATAATGGGTGTTTCATCGGTAAGTTTATTATCTTCTAATATTCTAGTTAATTATTTCTACGGTCTCACAAATTATCCTCAATACTAGGTCGTACCAGTTTTTGCTAGTATTCTCTCTTTTGTTATATTCGTGCTTGTCGGTGGGGTACTCACACCAGACATAGTTTTTACATCATTGGCATTGTTTAGTGTCGTTCGCTTTCCGTTAAAGCTTTTTCCTATGGTAGTAGCAGGGATTACAGATGCCTGGGTTGCATTCGATCGGATACAACAATTGCTGATGGCCGAAGAATTGGAATATTTGCCTCCGATAGATCTCACCTCTGATTTTGCGATAATGGTGACTGATGGAGAATTTTTATGGGAGATGACACCTTCAACGAGCGATGACATTAAAACACCCCTAACGGATAAAGAGGAGGTAGTGGAGTATTCTCCATCAACTATTTCCGCCGACGATAAGAAGATACGTCTAAGTAATATAAATATACGCATTAAACGCGGTGCACATGTAGCAGTAGTGGGTTCTGTTGGTGCAGGAAAGTCATCTCTACTGTCTGCATTAATCGGGGAGATGAAAAAAATAAAGGGAGAAGTGATTTTTGGCGGGAGCGTCGGATATTGCTCGCAAAATGCTTGGCTGCGTAACGCTACCATTAGAGATAATATTCTATTTGGACGAGCATTTGATGAGAAAAAGTATAAGAAGATTATCAAAGATTGTTTTCTTGAACCAGATTTGAAATTATTTCCGGCAGGAGATATGACTGAGATAGGGGAGAAAGGGATTAACCTTTCTGGAGGGTATTCATTTCTTTTCACCATAATACATGCATTTAGAACATGTTGATATAATTTATATCGTTTATATATATATATATATATTTATCGCTCTTTATAGGCAAAAGCAACGGATAAGCATTGCAAGGGCTGTCTACTTTGATGCAGATATTGTTCTTTTGGATGATCCCCTTTCAGTAAGTTCATGTTAAATTTCTTCCATCATCATTTACATGCCTCCGCGATTCACTTCTAACGGATAGGTTTTCTAGTCTGTTGATGCTCACGTCAGCAATCATTTATTCACACAATGTATTCAAGGCGCTTTGTCAGAGAAGACAGTAATTCTTGTTACTCATCAACTGAATATTTTGTCACAAGTAGACCACATTTTGTGTATGGAGAATGGTAGAATTGTAGATCAAGGAACTTATGAAGAGTTAATGCGTGACGGAAAAAAATTTTCAGCATTGATAGAAGAATACGGAAAATCAGATAATAATGAGGAAAAAAAGAAAGCTGTATACATTGAAGAAATTACAGGTGGTGATGTTAAAGGGGAATCTTCGCTAGACATACCTGATAAAGGAATGATGACTCAAGAGGAAAGATTGGTGGGGGCGGTGAAAATAGAAGTTTATTATTCATACATTATGGCGGCTGGTGGATTATTTTTGATTCCATTAGTAGTTTTTCTGCTAGTGATGATGCAAGCGAGTAACCTGGGGTTTGTATTTTATCATTCGCCGTGTTTGAATCATTTAAAGATCCGTATCCGTACTTGCTTATTGCTATTACATCGCTCATTAAAGAAACACATTGTGGCTTTCTTATTGGACAAGTGATGCATTTAAACTTTCAACGGAACTTTACGTAAGCAGTCTTGTTGCTACAATACAGGTTTGCATTAAATTTCAAGAATTCAAATACTTGAATTAATATTTACATAGATGACAATATATGTGGCGTGGGGTGTCTCAGAAGGAATATTCAGTATACTCGTTGGTCTTGCGCTTTCTTTTTCCACGCTCTCTGCGGCTCGGAATCTTCACCGAGAAATCTTAAAAAAGGTATTAGGAGCACCCATCGCCTTCTTTGATACGACACCCATTGGACGAATAATAAATCGGTTAGTAGATAAACTATGAGCTTTCTTATTTTTTTATTATTTTGGGCCAACAATGAATAGACGGATGCCAATCCTATGCTAGATTCAGTAAAGATGTCGACGCATGCGACAATATAATTTCTCAGCCGCTGCAACTATTCTTATACACGGTAGTGGACATATTCGGAATATTAATCGTGACGATCATTGTATTTGTATATTTCTTGATTCCCGCGACTCCCCTCTTTTTTTTGTAT